AACCAGTTGGGATTTCCCGTCTCTCCTTTGCTGGAGTTAGATTTAGAGTTTGTGTTCCAGGTTAGACTCCTTCAGGAACCGTGTCTTTCAATGTCTTTCGCAGCTGCTTCCGGTTCCTCCGACTTCACCGCAGGACGACGGACAAACACAGGTGATCCAGAGCCAGTTTAATGGTGTGGCGCAGTTTGTACACCAGGCAACTCCAACGTCCACATCTCATTGGAGCAAAAAAAAAAAGACGGAGGTAGATCTGAATGTGTTTGACGGCACATCTCTGGTTCCCATGTCCCCAGGTCATTCCCACCAGAAACTACAACTACCATAAACTCTTACAAAGACAAGTTTATTGGTGTAGCACAGTTCATACACAAGAAAACTCAAAGTACTATATATAACATAACTTCATTAAGCCTGTACTCACAAAACGTAAAATGCTTTTGTAATGTATGAAATAGATCAAACTAGATATTCCTAGAATTATATTTGGAGATTTCAGTGTATGGGTAAAAGTAGTGACTTAAAAGTCCAATGAGAGAAAACTATTTAGTAAAACAAAACAAAAAATATTGAAATATTTAGTGATTAAAGTAGCTATATGTAAGATTTTCATGTCAAGTCATCATTAAAGGGCCCTAATCCGTCAAAATGCATTATTGAAACATGCTCTTTTCCAATACTTCTTTAACTGATAACAGTAGTTCAGAGATATTTGAATTTCTAAATTAGTTTTACGGCCCATAAATCTTGCTATTGTTTTCATTTCGATGTCCCGCCCTCCACCGTTTCACCAATCAGAAAGTCTGTGATCCGGCCGCCAGAACTCACCGCGTGGAGCTAATCTCACTGGTAAAGTACCATGTGGCGCAGAACTAAAAGAGGTCTCGTTATGATTCTCAAATCCATCCTTCCATCCATTTTCTACCCTTTAATCCATTTCTGGGTCAGGGGGGTGGCAGTCAGAGATGCCACCCAAGTCTCATAGCACCAGCCCCTCACTGACCCTCTGCAGGTGGTGAGTCCACAGGAGGACGGCTGCTCTGAGTGTGAGCATAGTCTTGATCTTTCAGTGGGGGCTTTGGGCAAAGTGGGGTTAAGTGTCTTGCCCAAGGACACAACGACAGCAGTCATCAGTGGGAGTCGATGGAGAAGGTGCAGAGGTGGGAATTGAACCCACGACCTTCTGGCCTTAAGGCCAATGCTCTACCAACTGAGCTACGGTCACCCTATCTGAATGATTCTCAAATCATTAACGACAAAACAAGAAATAAAACCAGGATTTCTATCTTTGTGAAAAAGGTGTTGGTTATAGATTTGTTGTTGACAAAACTCTTGTCTATTCAGCTGTTATGGTCCCAGCTGGATTCGTCTGCATATCTGGCAACCTGAGTCAGGGAGAGTGGGAGAGGCTGCAGTACCACTTTTGGACACATGTTTACACACTGCTCCTTTGAATTATATTTCATTTTTAAAATAATGTATATTTCTTCCACGGGACACTGACTATTGTCAACAATAATATATTTAAAATAGTTCCTTTTCTTGGCATAACTACAACCAGTAAGATTTGCTGGAAGAGAATAGTAAATAGTTTCAAATCCTTTCAGATGTTCTGCCAAAAACAAAACATGTTGAGGATTTCAGCGAGAGGAAAACAACTTTTTTGACAAATTGTCAAATGGAAAATATCTGTTTTTGCAAATGAATGTTAAAACAGTTGTAAATCTGCTTTGTTTTGCTGTTAGTTATGTCTAAACCCAAATACTGAATATGTTTTTGATTGTTTTCATTCTGTGTCTATCTCATCCGTGTATGACAAAACTCTAGTGCCTCCAACCAGAATGACTAATAACCGCATTTAATCTAATGGAGCTGGAAATGAGTTCCTGTTTGACCATGGACCTTTCCTTGTGCACCTGGTGTCCCAATATGGAAACCTCTCTCCTTATAAAAAAAAAAATGGTGTTTTTGCAATTCTAGAAAATAATCACACAAAACCTCTGCGAAAATAAACCGTGGAAATAAAGACCTCTTTTGTCATACAGTCATAATCAAGGTTTCATATGTCAGGATGGGAATCAGAGCTGGTTTTCTTATAGCCCCCGAGGGATCCTCCTCCTCCTCCTCCTCCTCCTCCTCCTCCCTCCCCATTACTGTTACAGGCATCATGGCCAAGTTAGCGGATAGATTTAAAGCTAGGAGACCTAACTTTATGTAAAAATCTGGGCAAAAGGGATACTGCAATTTCACCCACACTCCCTGACTCAGGTTGCCAGATATTCGGGATTTGTCTGCATAATAAATAAAATCATTTATTTGGTCTAATGAGTTTAAAATGCTGCTTGAGTGTTTGTGATTGTTTTATTTCTCTGCAATGCATTCTGGGTAGCGTCACTGCTTCGCCCAATACATTTTGTTTACAATGAATAATTAATAATAAAAGTTAGCTTAACAGTTAGCTTCCATGACACCTCCTCCCCTGTCTATTTTGACAATAAACCAGTGTTGTATAGCTATTAAGTCTATAAACTCTGCTCTGATAACTCACCACACATATAATTGTATTTTAAAAGTATTTTATTTCTATATTTCTGTAATAATTGTGTCCAGGTCCAGGCCTCCATCTCTGTATGAACTTACGAAGATCCGAGCAGTCGCCCAAAGCCTTAATCAAACGCAGGAATGTTGTGTGTTTTGGAAGTAACATTGCCCAGACGAAAAAAAGGATCCTCTTTCTTCAAAATCGTGTCCAGATTTCAACACAGTAACTGACTCCTCTTTGTGTCTTTCATGAAAACCTGATTAGAGTGAATGTAAACTATCGCTCTCTCTGGGTTCACATCTCCTCAGCTTTCAGCCAGAGCCAATAACAACTGGGCTCCAGCCTGACGCTTCCACAACGACCTCACTGCTCTGGTATCCAGCTCCACGTCTCTCTGCTCCGGCTCGCTTCGGACGCCCAGAGCCAGCCATTCCCAAACTCAGTAACACCGAGGCCCCCTTAAAAATCTGACGGGTCTGCGTGGCCCCCCAAAATAATAACCAAGAAGACAACATTAAGAATAGGCTCTTCTGGTTATTTTATTTTGGGGAAATAGCCTCTGCTACAAACATTGTAATACAAAAATGATTACAGTGGATTATTCAAGTCAAATAATGAACACAAATATTTTAATATTACAAACAAAACATTATAAATTTAACATTAAATAATTATATTTTATTTTTTTTATGACCTCCCGCGGCCCACCTGCAGTACCCTCGCGGGCCACCAGGGGGCCGCGGACCCCACTTTGGGAAACACTGCCCAGAGCAGTCAATTTGATGGCTTGTCTTCAGAACACTTTCACTTTCTGTATTTGTATGTACAGATGTCAGTGTATGTTATTTATCATTAGTTTTATTAATATTTTTTGTTTTTTAAATGTCAGTAGTTCTACATTTAATTCCCAGATTTTAACTCAAAATCCAATCCACTTTATCTATATAGCAAATGTTATAAAACAGGTTTTAAAAGTGCTGCACAGAGACAACAGTAAGTGCGGATCCAGGGCATCCAAGGACATTTGTGAATATTTATGATCCGCTGTTGTTAAGTCCTCTCAGATGACTGTTACTGAGAAAATGAATTCTCAGTAATTGATTTTAAATATAGAAGGCTACCAGTTTTATGTACTTAAAATGGTAATATAAAGAGTAAGATAAACAGATAGATAGATAGTTTATTGATCCCCGTAGGAGAAATTCAGGTGTCCAGCAGCAGACAAACAAAACATTAAGATACAATAGCATAACATAAAGGAATGAATAAAAACAATAAAAAAACACTTATATATACACATAAACAATGCCTCTGTCTCTCATAATGCTTCATTCGTGTAAGATCCAAACATGTTACTCGCATGGCAGCTAACATTAAATGGCAGTTATTAGCTGCGATTGCACGCTAGTTACCATAGCAACACTTTACTTGACAGCAGTTAGCATTAGCCTATCAACTAGCTAACTGACAATAAGCTTAAGCAGTTTTAGCACTTGTTAAAGATAAAACTGTACAAATGTCTTAGTTTTAATGTAAGCAGTGAAAAACTATAGCCGTATTTCAGGGACTTTTTTAAATCAATTCTATTTCCTTTGACTTGCAGCAGTTAGCATTAGCATTAGCATTAGCAGTAGCAGTAGCCTTTCAACAAACGTTTTTTTCTATTCTTTAACCAGTTTCAGCACTTACTAAAGATTAAAACAAACAGTATAAATTGCTTCATTATAGATAAAACATAAACTGTAAAAGCCGTCAAAATCTCCCGTGAGATTTAACAGTTTCAGAATCCTGGGAGTCCTAGAGTTAAAATTCCTCCCAAATGTAAAAAATCCCATGTCTCGGGTCCAAGAGTGAAGGGAAAGTCTAGTGTAACTTAAGACAGTGGGAAATGCTCGAGTGTGAGATAATAGTGAAGTAAGTGCGCAGCCTGGAGACAAGAATAATATTATATGACTGTAGGAGTGTGGCACATAAAGTTTCAAATGTTCATCTCTCCATCACGGCAATAACCCCGAGACATCATAAATATCAGATTACCAACCGCTATGGAGCTACACGCCAACTAAAAACCCCATTTCACTTCACTTCAAGGAGAATTGTTTATCTCTGCATTCTACAGGACTCATAAAGAAGTTTTATATCATGAGTTTAATATCAGTCCATTTTTATAGTCATTAAAGGAGATGTCAGTAACTTAGATTGTATTTCGTTTTTCAAAAGTAATATATCTAAAACAGTCTCTGAAAATGTATTATTGCTTTTCTATTATCAGGGAGTATCAGATGTTCTCTGTGGACAATGTGTCACCAGTTCCATCCATGAGTTATGTTAAGATGATATTATAATTGTGACAGACCTACATGGCACGTCCTGTCTGCTCTGAGGCCCTTGAACACACCGCAGTCCTTGAACGCACCATTAGGACGTGTGAGATCTATCTACGGTCTTTCCACCTGAGCCCATGATCATAGATGAGATTCTCCTCCGCAGTCAGCACAGTCACCACAGTCACCGCAGTCACCGCAGTCAGCAAAGTCACCGCAGTCACCGCAGTCAGTGCAGTCACCGCAGTCACCGCAGTCACCGCAGTCAGCACAGTCACCGCAGTCACTGCAGTCAGCGCAGTCACCGCAGTCACCGCAGTCAGCGCAGTCACCGCAGTCATCGTAGTCAGCACAGTCACCGCAGTCAGCGCAGTCAGCACAGTCAGCACAGTCAGCGCAGTCAGCACAGTCACCGCAGTCACCGCAGTCACCGCAGTCACCGCAGTCACCGCAGTCAGCGCAGTTACCGCAGTCACCGCAGTCAGCGCAGTCACCGCAGTCAGCACAGTCACCGCAGTCAGCGCAGTCACCGCAGTCAGCACAGTCACCGCAGTCAGCACAGTCACCGCAGTCAGCACAGTCACCGCAGTCACCGCAGTCAGCACAGTCACCGCAGTCAGCGCAGTCACCGCAGTCAGCGCAGTCACCGCAGTCAGCGCAGTCAGCACAGTCACCGCAGTCAACGCAGTCACCGCAGTCAGCGCAGTCACCGCAGTCAGCGCAGTCAGCACAGTCAACGCAGTCAGCGCAGTCACCGCAGTCAACGCAGTCACCGCAGTCAGCGCAGTCAGCGCAGTCAACGCAGTCAGCGCAGTCACCGCAGTCAGCGCAGTCACCGCAGTCACCGCAGTCAACGCAGTCACCGCAGTCAACGCAGTCAGCGCAGTCACCGCAGTCACCGCAGTCACCGCAGTCAGCACAGTCACCGCAGTCACCGCAGTCAGCACAGTCACCGCAGTCACCGCAGTCAGCGCAGTCACCGCAGTCAGCGCAGTCACCGCAGTCAGCGCAGTCAGCACAGTCACCGCAGTCAACGCAGTCACCGCAGTCAGCGCAGTCACCGCAGTCAGCGCAGTCAGCACAGTCAACGCAGTCAGCGCAGTCACCGCAGTCAACGCAGTCACCGCAGTCAGCGCAGTCAGCGCAGTCAACGCAGTCAGCGCAGTCACCGCAGTCACCGCAGTCAACGCAGTCAGCGCAGTCACCGCAGTCACCGCAGTCACCGCAGTCAGCGCAGTCACCGAAGCACTGCACGGTGGCTGAGTGGATAGCACTCTCGCCTCTCAGCAAGAAGGTCCTGGGTTCGAATCCCGGTCGGACCAGGGCCTTTCTGAGTGGAGTTTGCATGTTCTCCCCGTGTCTGCGTAGGTTTCCTCCGGGTAGCTGTTGAAATAATAGAGTACAACTATATAGGGCTCACGTACATAACAATGTAAAAAAAGCAGAAATGGTAATGATGAAAAAGAACATTACTGGTGTTTAAAGACTATTTATGGCAGAAATGTCAAAGTCAAATACATCAGAAGTCAAAATACACAAATTTGATACAAGCCACGGGCCGGACTTGTCCAATGTTTATTAAATTATATTAAAATGAGGCGTAAAACCTGTTTAACCAAGACCCAACACAGTGTACTGTATTTTTTTGAATGATTAAATGAATAATTAAATATTTGTGTATGGCTCACAGACAAAAACACACTTCCTTAAAAGAGAAAACACACATTAACATTAAATTGATAATACGATATTTTCTCATGGCTCTGTGCGGCCGGCTCTAATACTAATCAAATACCATCTCGGGACCAAGGTAATTCATTCGCGGGCCAGATCTGACCCCCGGGCCTTGACTTTGACACCCATGCTTTAAGGTGATGAGAAATATCTAATGTTCTGACTGTTAATCTAATTGAATCATTTGAAATTCTGTAAAAGAAAGAACGTGTAAAAATGGGTAGGAAACATACCTACTCCTTTTATAAATTATGCACGGTATATATATATGTGTTTTTATTTTTTATTGGATTGTACAATGAATAATTAATTTGAAATAAAGACAACAACACACCAGGCAGGTAAACACTGTGTTATATATGTGATATTAATCTGCGTAACATGGTCTGGGTGTCAGCAATTCTGTTTTGGACAATAAGCTGTAATGTATAAGACGCAACAATATTAAAATGAAGCTACTTTATATGGTGCCACAAGCGAGACAAGTTTCATTATTCCACATGTATTCCAATGTATTTTTACTGCAAATGGCAAATAAACTGAATCTGAAGTCAAGTTCATTCTAAATCTGCTCAGGATTAAATGTATAGTATTTTTGTACAGGTCTAAATCAGTTCACCAACAGCAAATCAGAGAGTCAGACAGTTCAAACACAGAAATGCAATAATAACAAACACATAGAAGCCATGAGTCCAAAGAAAGCAGGACGACCACTGTCTATAAATGTTAAAGGAGCAATATGTAAGATTTTCATGTCCAGTCATCATTAAAGGGCCCTAATCTGTCAAAAGGCTTTAATAAAACATGCTCTTTTCCAATACTTCTTTAACTGATAACAGTCGTTCAGAGATATTTTAATTTCTAAATTACTTTTCCAGCCTCTAAATCTTGTTGTTGTTTTCATTTCGATGTCCCGCCCTCCACCGTTTCACCAATCAGAAAGTCTGTGATCCGGGCGCCAGAACTCACCACATGGAGCTAATCTCACTGGTAAAGTACCATGTGGCGCAGAACTAAAAAAGGTCTCGTTATGATTCTCAAATCATTAACGACAAAACAAGGAATAAAACCAGGATTTCTATCTGTGTGAAAAAGGTGCTGGTTATAGATTTGTTGTTGACTAAACTCTTGTCTATCCTGAAAGTCTATGAGAATTCAAATTGAAAAAAATTGACAAGACAAATTAACAATATTCTGAATGATGAATATTATAATGAAGTAAATATGATTAAATCCTCTTGGGAAAAGGACCTCCAAAACCCTGTGACAGATGAGGAGTGGAGTTTGGGCTGTAGAAACATGTTCTGTTATTTGAAGTTTCCATTTTGGCAGGAGTTTGCATGAAAGCTGCTGGTCAGATTCTTCAGAACACCTCTGTACGTCAGTAAATGCACCAATCTTGAACAATCCAGCTGGAGAGACTGTGGTGAAACACAGGCAGACCATGTGCATATACTGTACACATGCCCCAAAATTCAGATCTACTGGAATCAGGTCACACAAATGATCAAACAAATCTGTGGACAAAATGTTTGCCTGAAACCAAAACACCTCTTGCTTGGTATCCAGCCAAACGGTCTGGAGGAAAAACACCACTACATCTTTTTTACCCTAAGAATAACAGCCATCAAACAATTAACAAGATATTGGAAGAAAACGGAAATTCCCACTATAGAGGGATCCTACGGTCACGTGACTAGCAGCCACGGCAGCCATACTGGAGGACAACGTCGGCGAGTAACAGCCCTGCTAGCTATCTATAACTGGACGTTCAAAACTAGAACTCTCTCGAACTACATGAAAACTGAACAGAGAATTTGAAACTTCAGCAGTTAGTGACCCAAATATATACTCAACCTAAATTCATGAATCAGATCCTCTGAAAATGCGTCCTTAAATGAATTATTAATGTTTATCGTTACATCCAGGTTTACCGCGGTCGCATATTGTCGCATTAAAACATGTCTGCTGGCCTTCGGTAAGTCAGATACCCTGTGAACCGGGTGAGGTCCTGTGTGAGACCAAATATATAACAGCTATGCTACAAGCTAAGCTACAGTCTATGGAGCAACCCCACGTTGCAGTCAGACAGATATGTTTTATCCTTAAACTTCTGTTTGTTTCGGAATAACACTAAATCCGCCATCAAATTGATTTCACTTAGCAGAAATGAAATGATCCGAGCATATCCAGGCGCTCTGGTGGCTATTAGTGTTTTGTTGTTGCGTTGTGCCATTTCTCTCTCGTTTCTTTGAGATGTCTTCTGTTTTTGAGCCGTGTGAAGTAAGGACGGCTGGCAGTCGGTAACACAACTTATTTTCCCTGTCTCTCCTTTTGCTGCAGCCAAAAACGGCAACAAATTTGAACATGTTTATGCGGTCCCGGGTGCACGCCACTATCATACAGCGTTTGCTTGTTCTCCAGTATGGCGGATGCGCCGCGAATTTGAGGCATCGTGACGTCACGTGAGATATCTCTATAGAGACTTGGCATGAACTCATTATGCAAATATACAACATGGAAAAAAAGAAATGTAGTCATCTAAGGACATATGAAAATGCTGTGTTCAAAAGATGGTCATCATATATAAATAAATTCCAACAAAAATAAAAATGAGAACATGACAAATAGGATAAAATGATGAATATAGAATCAAATATTATATAACATGACACTAGACTTAACTATTTGGATATATATGTATGTATGTATGTACGTGTGTGCATGTGTGTATGTATGTGTGTGTGTGTATGTACATATATGTGTGTACACATGTATACATGCATATGCATATATGTGTATGTGTATATGTGTGTGTGTGTGGGTGTGTAGGTATGTACATATATATATAGGCTATGTTTCTTTCATGCATCTCATTTTGTCTGTATAATTATTTTGCCTCTTTTTTATTTTTATGTTTATTTTTTTATTTTTTTAAATCTTTTGTTGCAACTAATGACATATTTCACATGGGTGCTCTAAAAATGTATAAATGTATATGCTCAACTGAACCATACATATGTAAAAAAAAAAATATTGTTCTTTGTTTACAAAGTCTGTACATTCACAGTGCAAAATAAAGACACAATAAAGTATAAAAAAAAAACCACCTGTTATGGTCCCAGCTGGATTCGTCTGCATATCTGGCAACCTGAGTCAGGGAGAGTGGGAGAGGCTGCAGTACCACTTTTGGCCACATTTATACATACTACTCCTTTAATAAATATCTTGAAGAAAAAAAAAAGTGGGAAAAAAGTAAGAAACCTCGGGAATACCACATTGAGCGATGAATGCAGACAAAACTACAATACTTGAAAGCGGTGTTACTTTTCCGGCCAAACAGGGTCAGAAATCATTGCGTCATCTATAATGCAGGGGCCTGTCAGCGCGAGAGGCACCCAGGCAGGCCAAAGTTGGTGGAATTGATTTGTTAAGTTTACGAGCTCAACGACGACTTACTTTTCCGTCCGAGGTCAGCACCCGTTTGCGATTCATTATAAATGTGATATAGATAAAGCATTACTCCCGCTTCAAACCCCAACACAATAGTTTTTATTCTTTCTACTCCGAGTCAAATCCTTAAAACAGAAGGAAATAAGAAACATGTGACACGTTCAACTTTAGCTCATCAAATCTGTCTGTGTCAAACATGTGCACTTTAGTATTATTGTTAGTCACTTTTAGAATGATGTATTTATTGATGTGTGTTTGGATGGATCCGTTTTTGCTTCTAGACACTTGCATTTCTCCTTCAAGGGATCAATAATATCTATTTATTTATGTATCTATCCATCTAACTATATATCTATATATATCTATCATCTATGAAGTTATCTATCCATCTATCTGCCTACCTATAATTCTATCTATCTATCAACCTACTAATCTATCTATCAACCTACTAATCTATCTATCAAACTACCAATCTATCTACATACCTACCTCCCAACCTACCAACCAACCTAACTACCTATCTACCAACCTACCTACCAACCTAACTAGCTACCTACCTACCAACCTAACTACCTACCTACCTACCAACCTAACTACCAACCTAACTACCTATCTACCAACCAACCTAACTACCTATCTACCAACCTACCTACCAACCTAACTACCTACCTACCTACCAACCTAACTACCTACCTATCTCCCAACCTACCAACCAACCTACCTACCAACCTAACTACCTACCTACCTACCAACCTAACTACCTACCTACTTATCTACCTAACTACCTACCTACCTACCAACCTAACTACCTACCTACCTATCTACCTAACTACCTACCTACCTACCAACCTAACTACCTACCTACCTATCTACCTACCATCGTCAGGTAAGAACATCGTCATTAGCCTCATCATCAAACATTACGTGCACAGTTTTACTGTTCGTGGTCTTAAAGTCAGGTTCCCCAGCTTTACCAACACCTAAGCTACCTAAGCACACGCCATACTTAAGAATTCAAACACATTACGCCGGAGAAAAAACAAGCTTGTGCCAACTGCTTTTTGACACATCCCAGCTCCCGTAC